GGGCGGGAGCGGGGCCTCACCCGGCAGCGGCAGAGGCAGCAGCGTTAACGCTGTTCGTGCTGGAGCCGGGGGAGGCTTTCTGATTTCCTTTCTGTACCGAAGGAGGGAGTTTTTCTGTCTCCTGAAATTGTTTCCTTCTCCCTTGTCGTAGGTGTCGGCTCTGTAGTTCCTGCCTTCTCTTAGTTCTCCGTGTCATTCGTGTTTTACCTCTCAGTTGCAGCTCAGTGCCCAATCCGTTTACTGTGTCTCTAAAGCGTGTGCGAAAGTTCCTTCTAAATGTCTGTGCTCAGCTTCTTCATGATTTGTGTCTGTCAGCAGATGCCTTAAGGAACTCCCATCCCTAATTTAGGGGTGTTACGCAGAGAGCTGAGTTCAATTTCAACTTTTGTGTGTAACTTTCAGATTGCAACTGTAAGATCAATTGGTGTAAGACCTCAGAGCTGTAAGATTATCTTCTGTTAAGATGCTTTGTCATACTCCTCTGCCTTCACACAACTCCTCTTTCAAGACCATCTTGCCTGCGTAACTCGGGAAAACAAGGCAGGCTTACAGTCTCAGGGGCGTATTTTTTACAAGATGTAGCTTTTTTTTATTTTAAAATAACTTCATATTCCTACACTCTGAATAAAATTCAGGCAGTGTGAGCAAGTACGCTGTTTCAATTTTCTCTGAATTTCATATGTGCTAAATTAGAGGTAGAAGCACTTTAACTTAAGCAAAAGAAAGTAAACTGATGGTTTTGAGGTTAGAATTGACTTTTAAAGACTCTGACATCGTGTTCTTTTGCGATATGTAAGAGGTTGCTGTTCTGATTGACTTCAAAGCCGATCCAACGAGCTGCTCTGTTGTGGGTGGCATATTACTGAAACTCCGAGTAGGGAGGTAGCAGTTCTAAGGCAGGGCTGGGCAAGGTGCTTTCTCTCTTGAGTAAAAAAAAGGTAATTCTGTGCTCAAAGACATTTTATACTGGACTCTCCTGGGTATGGTATCCCCTGTGAAGGGTGTTGGTAAGCAGAGTACTTCACTGGTGAACTTCGCTTTTGGTCCGTGTGAAGAGCTTCTTTAAATGACTTATACTGCTTTTATTTCAGAAAAGAAAATCGGTTAACGAAATCCAAAGTTAAAACTTGAAGGACACAGCCAAATAAAGTACATATGCTAACTGCGTACTTCTTTTTGCATGAAAACAACACTGAGTACCTTCAAATATTACTAGCAAATGCTTAGTTGTTTGTAACTAAAGAACTTCTAAGACAACTGTATTATAAAGTATCTGAAGCAGGAAGCCTAGCCAGAGTGTAGTGCCAGTAATTTGCCTGTTGTGGTAGGTGTGTAAACAAAGTAATGGGAGACAGGGAACCTTACCTTGTAAATGAAGGGATAATGTAACTGAAATAAATTTTAAATCATGTAGCTGGAGGACTAAAGATGCGTTGTTGTATTCAAACAGCTTCTGAGTTGCTAGATTTGGGGATTGTGCTGCTCTAACTTCACTCTTCTGTGCAGACTCACCCAAGTCAGTTAGATGAAATCAGAAGACTTGACTTGTAGCATGTCTGAAAGGCCGCCAGGCTTCTCTCGTGTGAGTGTGCAGGTGAGCAGCCACAAGCGTGGCGGTGAACGTACACAGGGGTAGGTTTCCTTGTTCTGTTCCCTGCGCCATATCAAGGACGGAGCTTTCGCCTGCTGCGGCCTGGGAGGTGAGTCATTGTGGTGCCGAGTGCGCAGAGTGTGGCTGATACCTGCCCAGGAGCTGAAGAAAGATAAAAGCTTGTTTATTAGGATAAATGGTAGGTTTCAAAAGAATAAAGAGAAAGGTAAGTAAATTCTGGTCTTAAACACAGTCCTGGAACTTGGAAAAGTCCCTGAAATCTCTGTATTTCTATTCTTTTCCTTTGGTAAGCTAGAAACTTTGGTGTCAAATGTCCACAGTAAGTAGTAATGTTAATTCAGTGTGCTCTAAAACACTTATCCTTGAATAGAGGCATCACGTTCTAGAAGCCCTTACTGCCCTAAAAGAAACAAATCAGATGACGATGTATGTTGGAAAATAAGAGCATAATGTAGGCTTGGAGATTAGAGAAATAAAGATAAGAGCTAATACTGCGAGCCTTCATGAGTGCGTACTTGGTATTAGAAGAGATGTGTTCAGAGTAGAAATCAACTCTGGAAATGTGTAAGGGTGCCACAAGGGCCCAGTAAAGGGGATGAGCAATGACTTTTCTTACTCTAGGTAATGCAGAGTGGACACTAGGAAGGATGTGTTGTGATTTCAAGGAGGAGGATGTAGAACCGTGAAATACTGAGAGCAGTACCATGTGTCAGGACTGCTGAAGAATGTGGCACTTAAGGGGCAAGTGAGGGAGTTCCGTAAGGCAGAGCTGGCTTTGTGCCTGCTGGGTAGCGAGAGACCTCTTCCAAGAAAAGCCTTCATACAGAGGTGTCTAAACTTTGATGTACCGTCTCGCATCGATGGCTCAAGATCTCTGACGCTCCGAATGACACTTGCAGTCCCGCATGCAGCTGACCTTATTCCCGCTGTCCTCTCCTTGCTGTAAGGCTGGGAGGTGACCCTGTTTTGAGCAAGAGGTTGGACCAGGCTTGCTCCAGAGGTCTCTTTCAACATGAACCGTGTTTTGATTCTACAGCAGTTATAGAGGAGAAATGGCAAGCATAAAAGTAACTCCCAGCCTACTTGTAGCGCAACATATTTGTCCGATATTACAGTTCTAGGCAATAAGCAAGTAAGTTCTCCGTTGTAGTTTAAACTTTCACTTACGTTTCTGGGGAAAACAATTTATTTGCACCGGCACGTGACATCTAGGAACACTGTTCATGACCCGCTTTTCATTTCCCAAGGTGCTGTACAATGATTGGGAAAGATGTTCTCTTCTCTAAAGAGCTTATATTTCAAGAGACAACAGATGACTAAATGAAGGAAACAGTGAGACAATATGAACAGGCAATGATTTCAGCGCATTAATAATACCATTAAATTAAGCTTTTTTTAAGGCATCATGACAAAGGGGAGACTTAAAAGAGAATTTGATGGAGAGCAGTTTAGTAGCTTTATTGATTTTTATTGGACTTGATTCCTGCAGCCTAATTCTCTTCTCCACTACTATCTGTGTGCAGAAAAAAATGCCTCTATTCCAGGTGCCTGTGTGATTATTAGTGTTTTTCAGCTATTGTAACCTCTTCTTGTGTTTTACAAAGCTAAGGTGACGTGAAAGCTTGCTCCCACTGGGTAGTCTCTTCTTTCTTGCCTTGTGACAGCATCTGGAGCTCTTATGGCTATAGCTCATCAGTTTGTGTAGCTCACCGAAGTTTTGTTAAGAAAAGACAGTTTGCAGTTCACAATGTGTTGTAGTACAAAAGAAGTCTTCATCTGAAAAAAAGTAGTACTTATGTGAACTAATTCTGTTGAAGTACATTGTTTGTAAGATAGCGTTAGCCTTCGTTACGTATGTGTAAGGCCTTGGCATAAGTGTTTGTGTCTGTAGGTATCTACTGAAGCATCCCGTCTGTGGATTTACAGAAACCATATTAATCAGCTCTTCAAGAGGACTCCATATTCTGTAAAGAAAGATCTTGTGTGGGCTTTTAGGTTTTGGTTTTTAGCAGTGTACTTTGCAAACAGAAAATGCTTCATGTTCTATGTACCAGATACGTGCTTTCTGGTATACTGTACTGTTAAAATAGGATATTTGATTACCGTAGTTCCAGCTTCATCTCCCTTTTGTTTTATGATAGAGGTTTCTCAGTTAGTAAATGGCATACAAGTCCTTTAATGCTGATATTCAGGAGAATGAATTGATGTTCAGCAGAATGAACTGCTCAGTGTGGTGGGAGAAAGGACTACAGCAAACTGATTAAGCCAGCAGAGCGGTGCGTCTTCATAGTTCTCAAACCATCTTCACGCGAGGGCATGGACATCTTGTGCTGTTTTTTCCTAGTGGGGGGCTGGGTCTGTGTTCTGAGAAATAACCAAGCAACTGTACATGCTGTGGAATTTAAGCATTAGTGTTAAGGGAAGGAAGGGGTATGAAGGAGAGGAGGAGACATGAGATTGTTCAGCTAGGCTAGGCAGATTTTTTTTTTTTTTTTTAATTATTTCATAAAGATGTCCTCTGGGGATCTCTTCTGAGACTCAACTGATGGGCGTGCACAAATTCCAGGTCTGCCAGGCTCTTTCATGCTTGGGATCTTTTTATTGATGTCTCTTGCTGTCTCAGATCTGCCATTTCCTGTCTGGACACTGTATTTTTGAGAAATTGGCAAAACTTGTGACACAGAAACAGTAGTCTAAGTGTTTTCTGTTGTTGCTTCATGTCTCTGTTGCGCAGGTCTGTAGGGGAGGCAGTGTCTTCATTAGGCCTACTGGAAAAGGACTTGGAATACAGCAACGGGCTTGTATTTGCAAAGCTTTTTCTTATTGCAGACTGGAATGGAAACTGCAAGTTAGAAGATAGGTTCAATCTGGGAACAATTTTTCTAAATTCAGCTGAGTGACACAATCATAGATAGCTTGAGGAAAAGGAGTATTTAACATTTAGGGAGGAAAGGCGGAACTGCAAAGCGGAGTGGTGTCTGTCCCTCAGAAATCCCTCTCTAGTCTCAGAACAAGACGTAAGGCCTTCAGAGGCACGAGGGTGAATAGTGAAAGCTTTAGGATTATCAGTTAGTACTCCTGTTCTGTGTTTATTCTTTCAGTGCAGCGATGCATATCGTTATGGTAAGTGTAAAGCTGTGGTTGATTGCTGATTTAAAAAAAAAAAAGTGTACCATTATTGTAGAGGATTGTGGTAAATGATCCATAAAGTAAAGGGTTTGGGTGGGGTTTTTTGTACTACAGGTGGTTGAATTCAGCTTCTTTTCTGGATGTGTGGGGCAGAGTCCCAGTCACTGTGTTGTAAAAATACATGACCTGCTGTTCTTGTCAGAATTGTGAATTACCTGTCCTTGGAAAGTTGAACTTTTTTTTTAAGCTGTTAATGTGCCAAGCCCAGAAGTTTGAAGGCAGAAAGTTAATAATTGTTGGTCAAGATCCCATTCCTGCCTAAGGCAACAGAACACAAAGGCTGCACATTGGCTAGGAACAAGTAACTTCGCTCAGCAGCCTTAGCCTCTGTGCGCCTGTTCGCTCGGGAGCATCGTGCTGATTGAGATTGAACCACCCCGGAGGGTTAGCACTTCAGTATCGTCTTCTTCCGAAGAACTGGAAGGGAATGGAGTTGCTTGGATTTGGGCCAGGCTTTGCAGAGTGTAGGTCTGAAGTACGTACTTACTTGGCAAATGAAACTATGTGTCTTTTAAGGTGATATTTAGGTTCTTTCACACAAGTCCTTTATTAGAGTAATTTTGCACTGTAGGCTGCCATATGCTAACTTTGTGAGTTTTGAGTGTGCTTACAGAGCAAAATCCCCTCTTTTGGCAAGCATAGTAACAATATGCCCAGTGTAGTGTAAGACTTCCAGTCAGACCAGTTCTGTCATGCCGTGTTTGCCTGTGTTGCTGTTCCTGTGCTATCTGCTTTCTCTATAGTTTCTTGCTGTGGAGGAAGGCTGTTGCAGTAATAAATTATTTTGGATCCCCAGGGTTATGGAGGAATCCCTTTTAAGACCTGATGCACCACTGTCTCCTGTAATGGAGTGCTTGATGACCACTGTCTCTGGAAAATAAAAAGCAAGTGCCTTAGGTTGAAATTGCTCAATTAAAGCATCTGAGAGGAGCTGCTTAAAAACCTCCTGTGTTGGCCAAGACCAGTCCTGCCCCTGTTGGAAATCCTGGGAGATGGGAAGCAGAGGAGCAGTTTTTGACAACAGGGTAGGTTAGAGTGGCTGAAATGTCTGCAGGGTGCAGTAATCTCTGTAAGTTCTGCAGGTGTGTCTTCTTCACCCCCTGCAAGGAGAGGAGTTCTAAGGTGCCGGGTTATTTACCAGTCATCTTTATTTTCTGGGTACTCAGAACTACTGTCTCTGATGAAGCTGATTGTTGATGTCTTTGGAGAGACGTGAGAATGTAATGGTAGAAAAGGGTCTGTTCTCTGATCTTGCCTGTCTTGCCTTCCTGCTTCTCAAAACTCCTAGCTCTCTGTTCGCTGTCTTTCTCTCCTATTTATTTTAACTCTCTCCTTTCTGGACAGCAAGTTGTGTTATTCTGCTGTGCAAAGTCCAAATCAATACATAGCATAGCAGTTAAGTTAGCGTTCGAAAAGACAAGATGACTGATGGACAAAGGATAACAGATGATCAATAAAACATAGCAAACAGTGGTGTTTTCCCATAAAGGCCAGGAGGGTAGCACAAATGAATCGTTGTATGAACTGGGCTTTAATATTCATTACCTAGTGTCTCTGTGGTTTATAAACTGCTATGCTCTCTGACCCCATTGGTGTTGGATGACAGGAACATTGCAGAAGAATGTCCTTTAGTGCTGGTGGAGGTATTGCATGTTGTGGACCGCTTATCCTGTCAATGCAGGATTGTTAGCCTGAACTTGTGAGAAGATGGGATGGTCGAGCTTAAAAGAGTATGGTCTCTTAAAAGAGTATGAAAATACATATTCAGGAGTTAGGGTGTTCTTCTAAAGGATCTGTTTGAGTCTGAAAAATTGCTATACTGTGTTTTAGTAGCTTATGCAGGGGACTGAGAGCTGTAAGGCTCTAGATCTTACTCTGGATTTCATGTGTTTTGTTTAAATTATACTTCGTTTGTAACATAGGACTGCAAAAATATAAGCGCAAACCAAGCTGCTGTCTCCTTTGATACTGGGAATTTCAAAGCAGATGATAGAGGACTGGAACGTGGATGCAGCCTGTCATGAGCTGCAAGGAAATTCTGACCTGAAATTAGAGAGGGCTACAAAAATAATTTCGTTTCACTGGAAGTCAATATTAAGACTGATGAAATAAAAATGTCTGTTTTATGACCCCAGGCAGGCCCAAAGAATAAGGCTTCTTTGAGAGGAAGGGAGATAGTCATGCTCGCACACTTTTGGTTGTGGTGGCTTGATTGGGAAATATTGCTTAACATGTGATACTGAAAGCAGACAGTGAAAGTTGCTGTCTAAGTTTGGCGCTATCTTGTCTCTTGGCTTCTGGTTGCAGTACGTTGTAGCACCTTCTCCCCTGAAACTTGTGAGCCTGTGCAAGGCTCTGCCAGGTTTCTGAGAGCATCCTGTAGCTGAGGCCGGGAACGAAGATCTCGCAACCGAATCATGGAATTCCCATGGCATTCCCATACCCCCTGCTCCCTGCCCGCGGGTCGCCTCCTGCCTCTTATTCCTTCACCCTGCCTCAAAGTGGCCAATGCAAGGTGGAGATCTCTGCTCTGGGTGCCTACCAAGCTGGGTGTTTCCACACACCTGTCATTTCTGTTGCCTAGAGGGGCTTCACTTTCTTTCCTAATACTCTTGTGTAATGTTTGGGATTGAATGTGTAAATAAATGTATTTTGGTGGTAAATGAAAGTGATCCATATGTTCCGTCTCTTGTTTGTAGCTGCTGTGATGTTTGATAAGGTTTATCTTTGTAAGACCTTCTCAGCAGCAGTTCTTTTTGTCTAATTGCTTTCACACTTCTTCCTTTTCAACTTGGCTTGAAGTATTAAACAAATGAATCGGGAGAAGGGGGAAGAACTAAGGGGGACATAATCCTAAATATGTCAACTCAAAAATGTGCTAGTCAATAAAGGCTTTGCCAGGTCTTCAGTAAGCCTTCTGAACAAATGTGTGACAACTTTACAAAAGTATTTTTATGAAAAAAACCTTATTATTCTATTTATCTGTTATTTTATGGGTGGAGAAAGGACCAACTGTGCATGCAAACGGTATCCTGTTTTGTAATTCCAGTTACCCTTCTCTTTATGACAACAGGCCAAGTTTTTCCAGATGCCTTAACACTGTGTAGAGGTTACAGGCAAGCTGAAGATCTGTGCCTAACAGTTGTAGGAAATTCTGTGAGTGTCTGAAAAGATTCATTTAGAGGTGTGTTGTGTTTAAGAGCATAAATATTTGTTTGTATGGATCTCCATCTCTTTTGTCATGCAGCTTTGAGATGTGAATTGGTTAATTCTTTTTGAGTATTGAGCAGATTTCATGAACCATTGCTTTTCTGATGAGTTGGGACAACTCTTCAGTTTTGTTTTTATTGGTTAGATTTTAAAAATTCTAGCTAGATATTTATTATTCTTTCTATCAAGCTAAAACTTCACATTTTAAATTATAAAAACCAGTAAATCACTGTGCTGCACCATGAGTGTTTTTTTAGTACTTTACTTTCCCATTATATATTTTTTAAAATGTGCTTCTTGCATCCAGATGCCCTGAGTGGTGCATTTAGCAGCGAAAGCTGCTATGGGATGACCGTCCTGCGGATTTCTTTCTGGGCACAAAATGGGTTTGGTGTGAACTGTGGCTTTTCAGGCCGCCTCCTCCAATACCCCAAGCCAAATAAACGCGGATTTCTGTGATCCATTCAGATCTCTCACTACTAAAGAAGGCATTGTCCACTATGATCACACTTCTGACTCCTTCATGGAGTTTACGAGAACGTTCGAGTGGATGTGGAGGCCGTTCCATGGTTTAACAGAGAGGAGTTTGTCTTGCAGCGTGGTGGTGAATGCGAGGTGAAAAGATTTCCATCCCATGTCTAGATTTCCACTTGTATTGTTTTTTTCAGTTTCCCAAAAGAGCAACCAGTCTTATTTCGAAAGCCTGCATTATATATAGCATGGCAGAGGCAGCTCCTCAGGAATGGGTGCAGCTTCCTCACGCTTCAGTCATCGCTGTTTTGTCACCTTATCCTGGAAGACAGCTGTATTTGCCACCCATGCTTGGCTTGTCTGGCTTGACCTCTCTCAGCAGTTAAAAGCCTCGCTTAAACAGGCACACCCCTGATGGATGGTGAGGCATGAGGAAGTGAGTATGTATGTACTCGCAAACTTACTAACAGCGTGTGGAATTTAGAGCTTGAATAGCTGACTGGCTCTATTTGATAAACAAATGCGTGGTGTATTTATTAAGCATGTGTATAAGAACCTTGCCGTATGCCTGAAATTAGAATTGCCTGCATAATACTGTAATTGAATGAGGCAGGATATGGCTCAGAGACACTTCTTTCCCTTTGCCCTTTTGAATCCATCTGGTGGCTTTTGCTGTTCTTTTATCTCCCAGCAAATCAAGACCTTAAAATTGATGACCTAAAATTAATTTCCTTGAAGCTACTTTAATGACACTTGCCTTTCTGTGCATGTACAAAATGTAACCCATATACAGCAAAGCACATATGTTCTGATTTTATCAGGTAGTTGAGACTATAGACGTTATTTCTATATGCAACAGTAGAAACCTTCACAGTGTTGAAGGCATTTGCAACTTTTGCTGGACAAACATAACCCTGATAGTACCTAGTTGTTGAATAGCAAATATTGTAGGAATAGAAAGGGAAGATTTTAGACTGTTTTTACAGGGAATTAGCTGCAAAGGAGAATGGCAGTAGAGAGCCCACTTGAA